TGCGTTGAATGAATGCAGAGGAATCAAGACGACCGTGATTCGAACTGTCCGCCCACTTGTAGGCTGACACTGCAAGAAGAATGCAACATGCTTATAGTATACCATTCAGCTCCAATACTATCCACAAATATCACACGTAGACGAGGAATAAGAGAGAGCGGTTGACTTGGATTGAAAGCAGGAGTAGGTATGATTGAATGTGCATGAAAGAGCAAACTCGAATGACAACAATCTCCGTCCCTTCCACACTAATTCCTTCAATTTCCTTGCCACAACCCACCACTGTGTCATCCAGGGATACCACCTCTAGGCACAACCCCTCCGAAAAGATGGCCGCACCCAGACAGAAGGAGCAGAGGCACACCTTCTGGAGCCTCCGACAGCCGAGAAGCTCAGGTGAGACCTACCGTTTGCCCAGTGGAGACAGGCGGTTGAACTCCTAAGACCCACCTTGCCCGTTTTCCCGTTACCATTCCTCTGCATACACCTCTCGTGATCATAGCGAAACACTTGAAGAAATCCGTCAGTCCATGGCAGAAAGAAGGGCGCATCGTACGTACCTCGATAAATGAAAGTCGAGCAATGCCTCGCCGCTGCAGCCCAATACTATTGGTCTCAGAATACGGATGAAGAGTGCTGCATGCTAAAGTAGAGTTAGTCAGACAGCAGCTAAGACTGGCAGAAAGACATACGTGCTTAGACGGGCTGCCGGCTCGCGGCTGACTGGGACACGGATGGGTGCACGTTGAGGTTGAGAGTTTGAGAGGTACTTTGGTGGTTAGGGAAGGTGACATCAAAGCACGATGACCTGTCCACGGCACGTCGGTCAGCTCATGTTGAAGTCGAACATCGACAGTCGGCCGCAACTCACCGTAGAGCGTGGTGTTGCCATAGTGTAGACGAAGTCCTCTTCAGTGAGAGTCAAGATGAAGAGGAGGGAGGGGTTGGGAGTGAGGTAAGAGACCGTGGAAGAGAAGAGAGGAGCGGGGATGGTGGTGGTTGAAAGCCAAGGAGTGTGGCGAGGTTGGCGAAAAGGAAGAGAGAACTCGACGCCTTTTATACCTGGAAAGAAGCACCAGCCTCAACCACCACGTGCGACGTGTTGCGTCGATCATTCAACAAACGATCGGACAGATAACGTGACCGCAACGCAGAAGTTGAAGAGGGCGAGGGCGAGAGGAAACTGCGAGTAGTTCAGTCAACCCCCCGCGTAATAGCCCCAAGAAGTCAATCCCCACACAGAGCGTACCGCTCTAAAGGCGCTTCTGCAAGCGTGTGGTATACGCACATCTCCAACCTATGTTGCCGCCTTCTACGGCTGGCGAATGACCGAGGAATTATGGCGGTACAGTTGGCCGGTTTCAATCACACACGTCACAGTGGTGGCCGCTAGAAGACACGAGGAATATAGATCAGAATGCAGAGCGAACAGCTGTCGGTGATGAATACACACATGCGCAAAAAAACTTCATTGATGGCGTGAGACATGTCTGAAGATGCCAAAAGGTGCGGTACTGGAGTGTGTGTCCAGCGACCGTCCGGAGGTATCAGAACGAGACCCGAAAGCCTTTTTTGGCTGTCGAAAGCGCAGGGGGAAGGGGTAGTTGGAAGCTCCGCAGTGCTTCTGATTAAAAGACGTGTCTTGCACAAGGAACGAGACAGTGCTTCCAACTCGGTGACCAGCTTGGGGGCAAACTCTCCATCCAAAAGAGAGCTACCAAAGAGATAAAAAAAATCAAGGTCGACTCTCATTCGACCAAACAGAAAGAAGCTCACAGAGTATCTCTACGAGTAAACCGCTCTACGCTCGCATCGTGTCTCGTCGTGTACACTTTCACAACTTCGGTCGCAATACACCATTCCGCACTTCATGCATCGATACTTGCCAAAGTACCCACATACTGAGCAGATCATGCGAGGCGGATGGGTTGGTGGAGGTGCAGTCGCAGTCAAGTAGGTGGCGACGGAGGGTGAGTAGCTTTCCAAGTCCTATACGGTTCCAATGAGCATCTGACTGGTGAATGGGGGCGGCGAACACGTACAGCTTCGTCTAGTAGCGTATTGAAGGTCTTTTTGTACAGAACTGCCGTACGAATCACCATGGCAGATTTCTTTTTCCTTCCACCTTCCGGCATCAACTTGTCGGATATGGCCTGCCTACCGCGACCTTTGGTGGGTCGCCCTCCGGCTTCGTCTTCGTCTTCCTCGGCTGCTCCTTGAGCACCGGAGGTTTCGGCGTAGTTGGACCTCTGGAAATACGGTGAGTATTTGTCACTGTAATGTGATCGATATGAGGTAGTTTTGACCTCTAGCTCATCCAGATGTCGTCTTGTCCGCTTTGCCACAACCTCGGGATCGTACTGGCCGGCGGACTTTGCCGCCTGGGCCTGTCGAACAGCTGCAACAGCAAACCATCAGCGCAAGCAACACTCCAACATCAAGAAAACCGTACATTGTCGTCGTTTGGCCATCCTACAGACCAAACGAACGCGTCGAACACGTCGAGATGATGACGTTCGCGGTGAAAGCTCGCTTGGCCCATTGCGATCGGCTAGTTCGGCAAAGGGGCATTAGCAGGCGTGGGAGAGCTTGGGCGCATGACTCAGGAAACGCCTGACTCCTCTTCAAAATTCTTCAAAATTGAGCACTCCTCCCGTTCTTCTGTCTACTTGCTTTTGCTCTCGTTGCACCCCCATCTCCCATCCCAAAAGTCCTCTCTTTACCCCCTCGTTTCCCCTCAAAATGTGCCCTCATCTGAACGGCGACAGCCTTCCTAGTGATCCTTCTCAAATGGTCCAGGTCGAGCTGAACGGAAACTCCACAAGGTCGAATGGCGTGAACGGCCACAAGGTCAACGGTGCCCCGAACCCTCGGGAACAGCAGAAGGTCAACCCATATGCTCCCAGAGCATCGGATTTCCTCAGTAACATCTCAAACTTCAACATCATCGAGAGTACATTGCGAGGTCAGTTCTCTCGGCTAGATCTCTCTCCTTTTTGTACTGATCGTCGTGCATTGAATAGAGGGAGAGCAATTTGCAAATGCATTCTTTGACACTAAGACCAAAATCGCCATTGCTAAGGCGTTGGATGCCTTCGGTGTCGAGTACATCGAGCTTACCAGCCCGGCTGCGTCTGAGCAGTCTCGCAAGGGTAAATAACCCTCCTTCGTACACAGACGGCTTTAATCATGCCTTCGTTTCCAGACTGCGAAGCTATCTGCAAGCTCGGTTTGAAGGCCAAGATTCTGACTCACATTCGTTGCCATATGGATGATGCACGGATTGCGGTTGAAACTGGTGAGCATCCACGAGCATGTTTTGTTTCAGCAGGTCCTTACACCGCGTTTGATCAGGCGTTGACGGTGTCGATGTCGTTATTGGCACGTCGTCATTCCTTCGTGAGTTCTCACATGGAAAGGATATGGCCTACATCACCAAGACTGCCATCGAGGTCATCGAATTTGTGAAGAGCAAGGGTACGCTCCCTCTAAAAGCAGACACATGTCCTTGATCTGATCAATTGAATTCTTACAGGTATCGAAGTCCGATTCTCCTCCGAGGATTCATTCCGGTCCGACCTTGTCGATCTTCTGTCCATCTACCAAACTGTCGACAAGATTGGTGTCAACCGTGTCGGTATTGCTGATACTGTCGGTTGCGCAAACCCTCGTCAAGTTTACGACCTTGTCCGCACTCTACGTGGAGTCGTCGGCTGCGATATCGAGATCCATTTGCACAATGACACTGGCATGGGTGAGTGATGCTTCACCTGTGATACAGTGCATCTTCTCATTTGTCCCTTCTGTAGCCATTGCCAATGCCTACACTGCTCTTGAAGCTGGTGCTACTCACATTGATACCTCGGTTCTTGGAATCGGTGAGCGTGTCGGTATTACTCCCCTTGGTGGTCTCGTCGCTTGCTTGTACGCTGCCAACCCCGAATACGTCAAGAGCAAGTACAACCTCTCTATGCTTCGTGAAATCGAGAACCTGGTCGCCGAAGCCGTAGAGGTCAACATTCCCTTCATGAACCCCATCACGTATGCCTTTCTTTGTCTTTGCTTTTGACTTGACTATACTTACCGTGTTCACAGCGGGTACTGCGCGTTTACGCACAAGGCTGGTATTCATGCCAAGGCCATCTTGAACAACCCCTCAACGTACGAGATTCTCAAGCCCGAGGATTTCGGTCTCACTCGTTATGTCTCCATTGGTCACCGCCTTACTGGCTGGAATGCCGTCAAGAGTCGTGTCGAACAGCTCGGTCTCTCTTTGACTGACGACGAGGTCAGTCCCTTTTGCAAAGAATAATCATGAACATACGCTTACACTGCATCCGATTCTAGATCAAGGATGTTACCGCCAAGATCAAGGAGCTTGCTGACGTTCGTACGCAATCCATGGACGACGTCGACACTCTTCTCCGTGTCTACCACTCCGGTATCCAATCTGGTGAACTTGCCGTTGGCCAGAAGGAAGCTCTCGACCGGCTACTCCGCAAGCACAGAGAAGGAACCATCAGCCGACCCGACAGCCCTCCCACCGTCGCTGCTTAAACGTCCAAATAAACAGCTATATCTTCCGTTTCGTTCATGAACCATCTTCAATGACCATCTTCCCTCGAATTGTCCTTTCTGTATCATAGCGTTGACTGTTTATTCTTGGACCCCACCACCCTCATTAACTTCAACCCGAGGAACGTGTATTCCGTACACGTGTATACCTGTAACCCTAGTCTCGCATTGCTCAAAAGTGTCAGCGTGTAGCTGAACCCAGAACCAAGACCAAGTAGATGTTGTATATAGATCTACTGTGTAGAATTCATCGCGTTCTCAACGCCTCGTGGCCTCAGAGCGTTCTTGTCATACGGTTCGTTTCGAACAGTGTTCACAACGAGGGTCCGGCATGCAGCATGCGGGACATATTCCGAGCTGAAGAGAACAAAACGAAATTTCACCTTACAGTACTGTAACGCAAGCGGCGCAAGAGGAACAAAAAGCGACCAACCTGGGATTCGAACCCAGAATCTTCAGCTAGTGTGCACAACCATTTCCGGTGAACCGGAAACTGACGCCTTAACCATTAGGCCAGTCGGCCGATGGTAACGGGAGGGCACAGCTGCCTCACAGCTGTCTTTCCTTCTCTGGGCCATGACGCGTCGCGTCTGGCGCGTACCCTCGAAGGCTACCCTCGTCTCTGACCACCATCTCCCAATCTTTCAACCTCGTTCCTCATCCTCTATCATGTCTGCGGCCGCATCATCGTCAAAGCCTGCTGCAGAGCCAACCGCGAAAGTCGCGGAACCGTTGAAGGAAGACGAGAACCAGCCCGCGTTGGGTGTTCTCGAGGAGGACGATGAGTTTGAAGAGTTCGCCGTCGCAGGTCTGTCCATACCTTTACCTACTGTTATTATGATTTGTACTGATTTATGGTGCTGTTCTAGACTGGGATGATTCTCAGACGAATCTCGCGCATCTTGGAGGCACTGTGCCCGGGAGTGCCAAATCGAAGGGAGACAAGTTGTGGGAGGATAACTGGGATGACGATGACATCGAAGACGATTTCAGCGTACAGCTAAGGTACGTCCTCATATCGAGCTCATGTGTGGCACGTTCTTAATGGAGGGCTTTTCTTACAGACAAGAACTCACGAAGAAGGGCCAGGGTGTCGAGCCGATGCAGCACTAGAGAGCCAATGTACGATAATCCAGACCCATACCTCACGAGCTCCCTGTGTTCTTGTTCGCCGACCACGTACTATGAAAACCTCGTCTTATTATGGTCATCGAACGACATCCGAAGTGCTTCAATCGACGAGCTTCGGCGAAGTCTCGCCCTTCGAAGCTCTGCGCCACACCTGCCCTCGCAGAACGACTATGCTGTTGTTGCAATCGAGAAGGTTGAACACGTATCACGAGCTGGATTACAGTTCTATGGGATGTCTGATACACCGATCAAACCTCAGGGCATTCATCATTAAGAAAACACGAAGACTATGGCACAAGACATCCCTTGGTTCGTAAACTACATGGTATAAAATAGTGCAATGAAAGCATCGTCAGCGATCATGAAAGCGCGTGAGTCTCAGCGTGAAGAGTGCAGCCTCGTCCCAAACTGAGGAAGAAGTGGGCGGAAAGGGTCTCTACGCGACAGCGTGAATCTTCTCGTCAGGCACTTTATCAATGGAGTCATCGTCAACGGAGGAAGTCTCGCTCTCAAGACCCAACAAGCTAGTGTCGTAGCTAGCCGTTGGCTTCGAGGTACTCGCGGAAGAGGCGGTCCTCTTCAGCCATGCCGTCTTGGTCGAGGGGCTTGATCATGAAGAAGAAGAAGGTGATGATGGCAGAGAGGACGGCGAGGCCAGAGCCTACCCAGAAGGGGCCGGTGTTTCCGCGGTTTGTGTCGGCTCCACCGAAGGCATCGATCATGGGAGGGAAAGCTAAGATGCAAAGCGATGAGTGGTTTTTTCTCGCAGATATGCAAGAGAGCGCGACTCACCCCAAGTGCCGACGAAAGCACCGATCTTGCCAATAGCAGCAGCGATACCGTAGAATTGACCACGGACGGCAGTTGGGCCGGTCTTGGCGGCAAGCATACCGAGGCAGTTTCCGGGACCGAGCTCACCCAGAGACAAGAAAATACCGTAAACGACGGCGAAGGCACCAATATGGTCTACCAAGCTGTAGGCAAACCAAGTCAGCGAAAACACCCCCGTGGCACAGTTACTGGTATTCTGAACATACTGTGTGTAAGCACCGGACATGATGAATCCGATGACGGCCTGGGAGAGCAAACCAGTGATCATGCACCACTTGGGGCCGAGGTAGTCAACGACGAAAGCGCCACCAATGGTCCCGGGTATGTAGAACAAGCTGCAGGTCCAATTTATGAGGACAGTGAGTGGAGAGGTGTGACCTAGAGCGACGTACTTGATAACTGTAGCCCATCCGAATACAACTGAGAGGGAGTCGTTGTTGTTTGTGATGTTATCGACAACCGTGGAGGAGTATATACCGAACTACAGACATACGTCACTATGAGTGACACCGCTGGACGACGCGAAGAACGTGTGTGGACTTACGGGATAGGTGACGAAATCGTAAATAAACCATGTGAGGGCAATACCGCTGAACGGCATCCAGTAGCGCTTGATGACCAGCCAGTAGGGGGTCTTGCCGCGGACCATGGCGTTTTTCTTGTAGTGTGCGGGCTCGTCCATCTGCAACCGCCAGATCAAGACGGCCAGAGCGGGTACAACACCCAAACCGAGAGACAGACGCCATGCAGCGCGGAGATGATTTTCACCGAAACTGCATGAAAGCGGAACGATTAGCTCTTTTGGCACGCCAACCTGGATCTGAAGGGACAACGTACATCCAGACAAGCACAAGGGGGACGAAGGATGAGATGACGAAACCGAAATCAATCATCGAGTCTGGCGGGTGGGGCTCAAGTCAGACGAGTGGGGTAAAGTGACATGGGCGGCGGACGTACTGGTAGCAAGAGCGAACCACCTGTTCTGGGTACCCTTCTTAATGCCCTCGCCCTCAGACTGCTCAGAAGCGGCCACGGAACCACAAGGGTATTCCGCACCGACACCAATCCCGAGCATAAAACGGCACACCGAAAGCATGGTGAGCAAGCCGTGGAGGCTGTGGTTGGCTCCACTGGAGGCAGCGGACAGGGCGGAGAAGAAGGCGACTATTCCGGTAGCAGTCATCTGTCGCGATGCGGTGAGCCATTTGTAAAAATGTCCAAGTGGTGTGGGTGATTACTTACCATACCGAACTTGCGACCCAATTTGTCCGAGAGATATCCAAAGGTCAACATGCCGACGACCGTACCAGCAAATAGCAGACTGCTGACAATCGTGCTGTAGTTGTGGGCAGTGACAGCATCCGTACCATACACACGCTTCAGGACTGAAGACGGAAAATCTCAGTATCAAGTCGCCCATTATCAGGGAAGATACGTACGAGTGTTGACTGTGGGTCCTGTCAGTGTTTGTACGTGCTTCAAAGCAATGAGAAGGGCTCACCTTGACCAATGACGCCGTTCGCGTAACCTAAGACCATCGATCGTCAACATTCTGTCCATCTGAGCACGCCCTCGACTCAACATACCATCGGAGAAGAGCGCGGTTCCACACCTATAACATCCAGAGCATCAGTGTGTGTTTGGTTGTGGAAAGAACAGCGAGAGACGTACGCGAAGATGAGGGACACTCGGGATAGACCACCTTTAGCCATGGCGAAGGAAGAGCACAGGCAGATAGAGAGGGTGGAAGACCTTGGTTTCAAGCGCTCCTGGGAGGAAGGAGGCCCTACTTATCTTCTCGACGCAGCTCACGAGCCGGAAGAGGTTGATGCCATTTCCTGATCCAAAAATGATTGGGTGATGTATGATGGCCATATACACCAGCGAGGAGCAACGCCCTGAGAACATGCCAGCCGGCAAAGAATGAGTGGCGCACGTGCGTCGAAATACCCACCGAGGAGCGGATACGCTGATTCTTTCTCCTCCGACGCCGCTCGCTGAGCCTGTGGGCGACTTTGCAGAGTTTTGCAGGTCCACTTTTTGATCGTGGTCGTATGGCACCAACAACGAGATAGCGCCCGCCTCTGTGGAATCCATAAATAAACATCGCTCTTGTGGCTCTTTCGACAACGACGTCGACGCTGTTCAACCACTCCCTCTCACCGCTGTCAAGCTCCTCGGTAAGACCATCGTTCGTGGGTACTTGTGCTTCAGAATGGAGGAAATTGATATGCGGGACGAGCGTATGTCCGTTGCACATGGACAGCAGCGCTCAAAACTTCAGAGGGTTCCTGTGATCGACCGCATCCAATTCCGGACGTTCAATATCTCGTCGTCCTCTGTGCCTTGCTTGCTCGCCCTCCGGAAAACTCGCCGCCGGTAGGGAAGTTTATTTACGACAAAACGTTTGCTACTTACTCCACGCGACCTGGGCGGGAAGGGGCATCGTAATTTGTGCTTGAAGTCAAAACTGTTGCTGGACAGACCGTGCGGCTGAACGTGGCCATGGATGTGCACTCTTTTACTTCCGGCCGGTGCAGATGGTCAACCGACCAGGGCGAGCTGGACTCTTCCAACTTCCAGGATGATATCGATGATATGTCGCTGTCATGATTCCGGAAAGATATTCAGTGCGAGGCTGCCGCAAAGTCCAAGCACCCTTAAGAGGGACTCGAAAGCACAGCGGCCGAAGTCCTAGCTAAGGACAGAACTTCGATGGCTGTACGACTTCTTCGGTCGATATCAAGAACTTCGTCATCTCGAGGTAGTATAAGATAGATCTAGAACAGCACATTGTAGCACTGAGTACTGAGCTATATAAGTAAGTTGCACCGCAGCTTACCTTCGTCGTCTACTTATTTGAATCCCTTAAGGTTCACTTATCATAGACATCTTCCTCCAAGGTCACGAGCCCATTTGAAGTGCCAGAAACCAATCTCTCGGGATTGAATACCTGAGAAAGTGCAGTTCAGCCTCCGAGGTAGATCGTGTGCCAGTAGCCAGCCAGGCAGCTGCCCGCGGAGTGGTGGTACTGCGCAGTCCCACCACCTACAAGGCTCATCAACACCACTCTGCGTCTAGGCGGGGCGACCAGGCCAAACCCGACGTGCTCAGCTAGAAAAGTCCATATCCCGCCTCCGTCGCCGAGGGGCTATCTTCATAGCGACGAAGGACAGGTGCACCCAAGACAGCGGGACGAGACCCAAACTGTCATTGGCTGCACTTGGCCTTCACCGCTACGCAGAAGCTTCATCGACGATCCCATCTTCCCGCCAGCCACGGAGCCTAGGACATCGAGGTTCGAAACCCAAGTACACCGTGGAGGCGGAACTTAGAGACATGACAAGTACAGTTCCAGCGCTGTGAGATCGTGACATATTATCTGACCCCGCTCTGGTCATTTTTCATCCTCAGCTCCGACTTCTGTGTTGGTCGGCGAACAGCTTCAAGCTGGTAGCTTCGCCGCGGACCAACGAATGTCCTACTCCGCACGAAAGACGGCTGTGTCGGCGCATGATTCGGCGCACTAAGCATTCCAATTATGCTTCGGACCACCTGGCG